GGGGGGGGTAGTCATTCATCTTAGGGGATTGACGGGGTTAGGCAGTCGCTCTAAACGGATTAGACACACCCTTGTAACACGCCCGGGGCACATGAAGGACACTGTTGAGTTGAACCAGTTGGACAATCTCGGTGGCGGGTCGATAATCGAGCAGCAGCAGGTCGCTGTCGGGTGTTTGTCTGTTTGTGTTTGTCACTGACTCGTCTTTCTTCTCCTGTTTCGCAGGTTGCTCCGCGTCGCGTCGCATGGCAGGTCCCCACCATGGGGCCCATGGGGCGGCGTGCTAGCGCGCGTGCTGTCTGGTCGGGCGGGCAGTAGCGGGCAGTAGCCCCCGCACACCAGCCGGGCCCCCCACAGCCCCCGCCCCCAGCGTCGCCCCCGCCGCGAGCCGGCCGGGGCCCCACCGCTTGCACTCTGGCGCTGGAGATCATGGACATGGCGGCGAGCGAGCACCACCCTCACCACCCGCACCACCGGTGGTACGAGGCCCCTCGGCTTGCCATGAACCAGTCGCCGTCCCACCACCTGCCGGCCATGAGCGCCGAGGACCTGCTCGCCGGCAACGGCGGCCTCAACGCCTCGCCCGGCGACCTGCTCGGCCAGCACCAGGGCGGCGGCCACCCCAACCAGGAGATGTCCGGCTCGAGCATGGCCGAGCACATGTCCTTTTTCCACCACTCGGCGGCCGCCTCGCTGGCGGCGGCGGCCGCGGCTGACGGCTCGGCGTCCGCCAACGGCCGGCCCGGCGACTACTCGCACCAGCGGGCGGCCGCGGCGGCGCGCTACTACCATACCCAGATGCACTCCCCCTACGCGTCGGCCGCGACCCATGGTGAGTACTTAGACTAGTTGCACCATAAGTGTCAGAGAGTCCTGGCGGGACGGAAGGCGTGCTCCGTCTCACCTGTCTCGCCCTCGCCCGCACCCTCTCACGAGGCCCACAGTTGTCGCCGTCTCACTCGCTCTTGCGGTTCGACGACTGCCGCGGGCCAGGCATCCGGCCAGTGAAAGTGTCATGATGGATCGATACTGGTCTGCTCTGTTCGTTTTCGCTCCGCGCTTTTTTTTTCTCTCGTTTGGATGGGAATCTGAATCGCGATATGTCGTGGTCTGCCGCGAGTCATGTAATGTGGCGGAATGAGCGGAAATATTTATTGCCGTCAGATTGACCTGCTGTCGCTGTTGCTGACAAACGTGGCATGGGAAAAATATTTTTCCAAATATTTAAAAAAAAACATTTTTTTCAATCTTTTAAACAATTTTCATATCCATGCAGACGTCGTGACACGTTTTGTATATTGATTAGTTCGATCTGGGCGGAGAGGATCGTCACAAGACGACAACCTGCTCAACCCGGAGCACCCCCTGCCCTGCCCCTTCCTCCTGTCCTGCTGACGCGGCCCCCCTTTCCACTGACTCACTCCCCTAAGCGATCGATCAAAATCTCTGTAATCCCTTCGGCCGCTCTTCAGTTTTATTATTTTTGCTTCTCTGA